ATCTCTTTTTTTAAAAAGATATTTAAAAATTAAAGAAATTTCAATTTTGTGACGGATAATTGTGCAATTGTCGCATATTTATTTAAAGCTCGAAGACACAAGAATATGATCATTCAGACTGCAAATGTTATTGCATTCTTGGAACATGATATTGTAATGATATTGTAAAACAAAAGTGAGAATATATAAAATAGTCAAAATGTGCACATTCTTTTGTGTATTCAAAATTTGAAAATGCAAAAATGCACGTAAAATATTTAAACTATGATACTCCTTACGATAGTTCATAGATGTGATGTGAACATGTAAAAGTCCAAGTAATTAAGCGATCGAAATAAGATTTTGAAACTAACGAATCGTTGAAGTTAATTATTCTATCATCCTCATGTTTTATAATCATAAAAGAAGTAAAATTTTTGAAATTTAACGCTGAATTAAATATAATTATTGAAACTATTTGTTATTTAATCATTATTAAATTCAATTCAATTCAATTGAAAACCTTCACGCTTCCATTCAAAAATCTAAAGTGTATTAAACTCTCGAAAGAAGTAATGACTTCTTTAATATTCGCTTTCTATAGTACTTCAACTAATTATATTCAAAGTCCGCAGTTATAATTGTAATATTCTTGTTTTTCGAAAAAATACGCGAAGACTTAGTCCAAAAACTGAAGCGTTTGAATGAAAGTGCATATTTAAAAAAAAGAAGATTCAGCTTTTCATTTGAAAATTCATTTTGAAGAAAATTCATAAAATTTTACCATAGAAAGATCTTCTTCCTTAGACAATATAATTTAAATATAATATAATGTTGAAGTATAATATAATTTAAATATAATACAATATTGAAGTATAATATAATTTAAATATAATTTATTATATTTAAATTATATAATTATAATAATACAATATAATTTAAATATAATATAATGTTGAAGTATAATATAATGAGATGAAGAATTCGATTCTAAAAATCCTTATTTAGGAACGGAGGAAGAAAGAAAACAGAGGCCGGGCTATAAGTTGAATAATCGATTATATTTGGTAAAACATTTACAAGGTAATAAGATTTTTTTTTTTTTTTTTGTTCAATTAACGTTACATTTACAGGCAAGGCATCATCAAAGACCGTACCAACTCTACAATAGTCGTAATAATTGTATAATTGTTTACTTATAAGAAAGTATGTACCATCAAATTATCTTTATCGTTTACTATCGATATTAATATTTACGGTAGTGCTACTCTTATTAATTCTTATTCTTTTTTTTTTCTCTCTCAGGAACAAATACATATTTTCTGCATTTATTTTTTTTTTTTTCTTTTCCATTCTTCTCAATATATTTATATATTTATATATATACCATTTCTTATTTTTTTTTTTTTCCTTTTGTTGCTTTAAACCTTTAATCAATATACATCAATTCGCGATTACATTGAACGGTGTTAGAGCATTTGCATCCCGTGTAGGCAAATAAGATAGATTAATCATTTCCGACGCATTCTTCGAAGCGTGTGTTTCTTCCACGCGTTCTCGGTGGACGATCGAACGAACAAACGAAAATTATTACTCTGTTACGCCTGTATACATAGAGTACGTGCGTACGTACGCACGAAAAATGGAAAGAAAGCTGAGATACAGAGAAACAGAGAGAAACGAAAACGTACATATATGTATAAGTAGTATCCTAGTGTTGTTCGTGTTGTTTCTTTCTTCGAAGTTCCTCGCCGCCTTGTTTCCTCTCGTCTTTCCCTCTGCATTTCGATCGTAGTATCGCAACAGTCGGTGTTATCGATGCTCTTCCCCTCCGACAAGGGAAAACCGATCGACTCGGTGACCACTGACGTTACGATTCACGTCTTCGAAGAGGCTTCGATCGATCTCAGTTTCCCTTTCGGTGATCATCGTCGAGTGGAACTACCGAAAGGTACCGGTCAGTCGCGAAACAAATCGAACCGAACTCTTAGAAGCGAGTCTAATACGAAAAAGAAAGAAAAGAAAAGAAAAAAAAAAAAAAACACGAGCAATCTTGATTTTGAGAAATGGTACTATATGCAGTATAATTCAGACACTTGTGTTGATGGATTGACGTAGGATAATTGGGCCAAGTTGTGCAAAAGTTTTTACTAACCCCTCTTTATTTTCGGAAAGATTTGTCACTCATAAAACAGCTCTTACGTTCGACAACTATTAAAATTATTAAGCCGCAGTTTCATTTCGGAATTAATTATTTGATGCTTGAGGCTAGTTTCCGAAATTTACGACAGTATCAGCTCGCGGAAGAAAATTGAAAATGATATTAGTAATAATTAAAATAAAATAAAATGAAATAGAATTGATAATATTATATACTACGTATACAATAATAAACTTTTTATTAAAATCGTCAAATCTACTGAATTTCAGAGTTAGTAGCTTTCTGCCCGACCTGGTCCAATTATTACTGAAATTGAAACGAAATGGAATCTAATCTAGTAATTTATTAATGAAATACATTGAAGGAACGGATAAGATGGAAATCTGAATTGAACGTAATTTTGCTGTGATCGAAACGAGCTTCCATTCAGTTTCGTTTGAACTCGCATTTGTCCCGAGTAACGCAACAACATTCAGCCACACGTCATCATGATAGTCGTGTGATGATAAAATGAATCTTTCTGTTTAATGTTGCAACGTACATTTACAAACAACATTTTATAAATCTAGAAGCATATCGATCCTTCCTGTGCTTAGCTGAAACGTTGTTCAATCTCTGCACGTGAATAGACTGCGAGTTTTCGCGTACTTAAATCAACAAAAATATGCATAATCGTTTCGTCAGAGTAAGTATCAAATAATATATTTAGCAAAATGAACCTCCTGCTTCCTGCAAATGACTCTCTTAATTTCACGAAAGTCCACAGTCTATCCATCAAATCATTCCTATCCAAACGAACACGCGTTTCACCACGTCCATACTTCTCTCGTCTTCGATAGAATTCGATTCGATTCGATCTGCGACGCGAGTGAAACGCAGAAACGGGATTCGCCCATTCGTGGCGTGCACGCGTGCGTCCCATAAGCACGCGGAACAATTGCGTACGAGTCTCTCGGAGACACCTAAAACGCGATACAACTATATCCTGATAACGATACGACGATCCTAACGATTATTACATATCGCGAAGAGGAGACGTTCGAATGAAAGGAGGCGTTCCACGGTGCCCGCGAAGCGAAGTTCAAACCTTATGCTCACACGGAAGGGCAAACAGACAGACAGACAGACAGACAGACAGACAGACAGACAGACAGGACAGACAGACAGGCAGACAGACAGAGAAAAAAGAGTAGCATGTGTAGTGTGTGTTTGTAGAGAACTATTGCACTATACTGATTCGCGATAATCGCTCGATTAACTAGGCAGCGGCTGCGTTTCGTCCACGGGATTCTACAAACGAGATTCTTCCGCGTCTCGATGGTCGCCCCTCTCAATTGCGCTTCGAATCACTTCGTGACGAAAAGTCCTTCTTCAGGATCGCCTGGAACGTTGCCGAAAACGCAGAACGCTTGGAGAATACTGTGGTATTGGTCGTCAATTCGAATTTTTGTCTAGAGAATTTTGTTAAACAATTTTTTATTCGTTTGTCTTGTTCAGTTCTAGAACGTAGAGAGAAACGAAATTATATCGACTATATCGTTGTATGAGTGAATTATTATTGTACACGTGAAGTATATATTATGAATATTATATATATATATATATACGTTATATTAGATATTATATATAATATTATGGTATTATAATGCAGTGTATAATATTATATAATATAATAATATAATAATATAATAATATTATATTATAATATAATAATATAATAATATAATAATATTATATTATAATATAATAATATAATAATATAATAATATTATATTATATATAATATAATATTATAGTATTGCAGTGTATAATATTTTATATAATATTATAGTATTACAATGCAGTGTATAATATTATATATAATACTATAATATTACAATATTATAATATACTATAATATACTGCATTATAATACTATAATATTACAATATATTATAATATTATAATATTATAATATTATAATATTACATATATATAATATCTAATATATTATATTATATATATAATATTACACTATACAAGTACTCGTTACTTCACTCTTTCTGAATAATTCAATCGATTGCGAACGATCCGATGTAAATCGCACTCGCGGTTTCTAATATTGCACTGTAATTGAACTACGATTCAAACGATATAAGAAGCAAACTGAACTTGGATCAAACGATCAGAGAACAAAATCGCGAAACGCCATTTTTTTCAACGTCGATTCTGTAAGCGACTTCGAATTTTTCTCCAATCGCCAACAACTGGAAACCAACAAGGACACTTCGACGCCAAATTATAATTATTAAAATTAGAAAAAAATTGTCCAGCTGCTTTCGTTCCTCGGCAAACGATCCGAGTGCGTCTGAGTAACCGTAGTTGCACGAACAAATCGGCAACAATCCTTGGTGGTTGTTGTTATCAGGGATATTTCAACGACCGACAGGACACACTTGAAAACGAATACATGGTGGTACGTAGTCTCGTTGGTCGGAGAGGGACGACGAAATCAATCGAAAAACGGTCGGTGTCGAAACAGAGAAGGAAAAAGGAAGTACGACATCGCGTTGTTGGGGAGAAGGGACCGGTCGAAGAGGTGGCGTTTGTCCAACCCTTTCCCTCTCAATTGTCCTCCCACCCCTGTCGATGGAATGTTTCTCTGCGTTATCCTGAAGCTCGAGGCCACGGCCACTCATGTCATTCGCGTAAAATATATTTTACAATGGTACATATACATTCATGTATATATATATATACATATATATATATGCGTGCGTGTATATTAATACATATATAATATTGATGATCGGTCAACGTTATATATAAATTAATATACACGATAATATTAATAATATTAATAATTAATTAATTATAATAATAATAATAATAATAATATATATTCTCTCTTCGTATCTCGTTAAAAAGCAACTCGCAGTTCCCTTCCCGATCTCTCTCGATTTCTCCGGGTCGTCGCGTCCCCAATACGACGACGTTCTTTGTATACTATGTACAAAAAGAAAAAGAGGAAAAAAAAAAAACAAACAAACAAACGACGAAATTGAATAAGCTAGCGCTTCTCGAAAGCCACCCCCTTTTCCATCTTCGAGTCGTCAGTTTCGGGACGGGAGGAGATGGTAGCTGAAGAAGAAAAAAAAAAAAAAAAAAATCGCAATCGATACTAACAGAGCGAAACGTAAGTAACGATTGATAGGCGCAAGTGAAATTGGTGTGAGACAAGAGGGGTCTCTCTCTCTCTGGATGGCGGAAGATATCGGTAGTGGCGCGCAAATATTAACTTTCTCTTTCTCTCGTTTACATCTGCGTGAGAACGCGATCGTAAGAATCGTGAGGTGTGAGTAAAGCAAAGAGAAGAAGAAATGAACGCGTGTCGTGTAATATAGCGCTAAAACCGTGTAATCGTATAGTAATAATAATATTAATAATAGTAATCAGTGTTCTTTGGTAACACAGTGATGCGTCCGGAGACCACGAATACGAAATTTCAACGTATTGTCCGATCGTGAACAGGATGGTCCCGATAAATATATTTATGCGACGTTGGTCGAGGATCGTTAACGTTTCTAACATCTCTTCTATGTGACAAAGCACATTAAGAGTCCAAGTAGCGTTATACTTGCTTCTTTCGCTAGGAGGGCTTTGCCTTTTAATGAAAAGTTTTGGAGATAAATAGAATATAATTTCAACACTTGGAAATTATTCTAATGTTAGTTATTGCGGATTTTCATATTTTCATGAATGTAAAAATTGCACGACAGATCGTTTCATTGACCAAATACTTCAACGATCGCTATACTTTGGGTTCGTTTATACATTGTCGTGTATGTACACTGTGAGTATTTTCATGTCTTCAAATTTCCCCGGATTGACGAAAGAAGATGCAGGGAAATTTGCAATCCTAAAACATCACCGTTTTCGACTAAAAACTAGACAAAAAAAAATAAAAAAGATACAAACAAATGTGCAACAACTGCAAACGCAGAAACAGTCTCCGCAAGCTTCTCCTTAAAAGCAAAGCTCCAGACACAATAATCGGTCGTTCGTTCAACAAAATGCACAGAAATCCCCAAGCCAATCAGCACGATTCAAATATGTATATACTACTCTTTCAATCAGCGCACGTGATTCGTGTGTACGACTAATCGTCTCGATCTACTGATCGTTTTCTCGCGTAACAAAAAACAAAAAGAAAGAAACAAAAGAAGAGGAAAAGTAACTCTAGCTTGTCCCGCGATCTACGTAGCATACAACGTTTGCTACACGTGTACGTCAGCCATGCCTCTATAATTTCCAGGCAGCTGATCATTCATTTCCCAACTAATTGTGGAACGTGACTCCGCTTCCGTTTACGTCGAAACGAGTGTATGTACACAACAAGATATCGGTAGAACGCTTCTCGGTCGGGTAAACGACAATGGCGACGTTCGACAAGTCACGCGACAGACGTTCGAGGCAGCAGGTTGCCTCGATCGATGGAAAACAAAAGCGGCAGCTCCGAACGCGGTAAGCGGCCGTTGCGATCGCGGCTGACTGATTCATGTAGCTTGCCGAAATTTCTCTAAGGATGAAAACACAGTGGACAAATGTTTGGCGTAGCTGAGTACTGAGAAATCAAAGCAATTGAAATCACGCGTCTCGTGTTTCCTTCTGTTTTAAACTTGCAATGATGCTTGAAACTTTTTGACAATTTTCATACATACGTTTGAATTGTATTATAATTTGAGTAATTTTTCAAGTTTGTGCGTGTGTGTTTTTTTACTCATTGCTCAGAAGTTCAATGTTTGTTATATTCGCGTATAGAAGATTTTCTTACAATCTATCTAATCTATGCTTTTTGACAATTTTCATACGTTTGAATTGTATAATAATTTGAGTAATTTTTCAAGTTTGTGTGTGTGTGTTTTTTTACTCATTGCTCAGAAGTTCAATGTTTGTTATATTCGCGTATAGAAGATTTTCTTACAATCTATCTAATCTATGCTTTTTGACAATTTTCATACGTTTGAATTGTATAATAATTTGAGTAATTTTTCAAATTTGTGTTTTATTTTCCTTACTCGCTACTCAAAAGTTCAATATTTATTATATTCGCATATAACCGTTCAATTTTTGGTAATTTTAATCCAGTCAGGAATCAGCATTCAACTGCTTTACTTTCTTTCGTCAGCTGCGACCACAGTCTAAGTCTGCTCACTGTAGTTTCACCCCAAGAGCACGAATATAGCGAAGTGATGAGGAATCAGAATAGCAAAGTGAACATTGTCCTTCTCATTGCTTCACCATAAACATGTCGCATGTCGCGTGAAATCGATTTAATTTTGTCTATTCTCGCTTATCATCACATTATTGTATTCGTATGTTAACACATTGCGAACGACTGACGACGAGGTATCTCACGTTTCGCCTTAAACCCTGCCTCAATCCATCGACTCCATCGAGATGTTTCTCGCGAGATGTTTGACGCAAGCAAAATACCACGGTGAAAAGTTAGCAGGAAAACTCTGTCTGATCCGCAAGCAATGTGCAAGCGGAAAAAACACACTGACACTGATCGAGCAACGATCGATCGATTCTCCCGCCGGGCCGCTTTTCGTCAGAAAAAGCCTCTTGCACGCACTCACGCACGCACGCACGCAACACGCACATCGTATCCTCGTACACCCTTAAGCTTAAGCTTATCGATAGTTAAGTAAATATCTGTAATCCTTCTTTTTTTTTTTTTTTTTTTTTTCTCTTATGTACACCCTGTTTTCTGTTCTTCTTTTAATAGTTCCCTTAAAACTTAGCCGGTAGAAGAGCCACTTGTTCTTCATCTGCCGGCAGCTACTTCCAACTCTCTTCGCTCGCGAACGAAAATTCGTTTCTCGTTCGTCATCCTTCTCTTCGCGAGCAGTTTATCAATCCGCAGAAGAAGCTATTCGTTCGATACTCGAACGTACTCGAGGAAATTCGTAGCTTCCGTTCGGGGTAACTTTCGTCGGATTGCTGTGCGAGAAGTTCACTGTCCTCGACGACTTTCGGAGAGGCGGTAAGTGTCGTCGGAATCGTGAAACTTCGTTCACTCCATCCGGGCGGGCGGGCTCTCTCTTTCGCGTTTCCCGCTGGTGGATAACGGAAACTCGTTACCGACGGTCGGTAACGTTGTCGCGGAGCATTGGTGATCCAGCGATCGTTCATATGCGGGCGTTGAAGTCTCCAATATTCGAGGATCGGGCCAGAGAGTTTAACACTCGGCCCCACCGAAAACTGGAAAGGAACTTACGAGCCCAATTGCTGGCCACTGGCTACGTAAACGTAGCTCTATGGTTGCTGAAGCAACAGTTGCTCGAGCTCGTCGGCGGACCTCAGCAGGAATGCCGCTGATTCTCGATATCCGGTGATCAATTGCCTGACGGCCGTCATTTCCGTCGCGTTTAACTTGTGACTCAGTAGCGGCTTCGTGTTCTTCATGCTCAGATCCGTCGGTCCTGCAAGAGTAATTATTCTTAGACAATGTTTCTCTCTCTTTCTCTCTCTTTTTTTTTTAGTTTTATTAGCGACAAGCTTCGAAGCGTGTTTTCAAGCAGATGTTTGCAAAATTTGCAATGTATCGGATAGGATTCGAAATTAATCCTTTCGCTACGATATTTTCGAAAGCGGTGTTACATCATTTTACAACACTAAAGTGTTTGTAATGTTAAATTATTGCTTGGTCCTTAACAGATTCTCTAGTCTGTCAACCAAGAAGGATTTGATTCGTCATTGGAAATATAATAATTTCTTTAAGACTGTTATATTATCATTTCCATTATATTATTATTCCGTTTACAAAGACTGAAATCAAAGTGGACATTTTCATTAATCGAAGGGCTCAGAAGCCAACCAATATATGTCATTGAATACTATGCAAATATGTTTTTGTTGACAAAACTTTTGATGAACAGAACCGTACGATCGTAATACAATCAAAATTCGGTCGTCATTCTGTTTTTGTTAGATTAAACGCATACTACAGCCTTCGTAGGGAAAAGATTAAAGAATTATGAAGGATTTAATACAGAGGATAGAAAATAGAATTTTTTCCAATAAATTACAACTTTAAGCAACAAACAAATAGACGTTCCTTTTTTTTCACTGCAATTCCAACGTGTAATTATTTGGAAAGCTACGTGTTATACACGCGTTGTTTGTAATCTACAAGTGGAAAATCTACACCGATTATCCAGTATTACGTACAAAGAAGGGCAAAACGAAACGTGCCGTTCATTCTACAAAAGAAGTCGAATAAACAGAAACGGACATGTTGAAAGAGCTTGTCAAAACTACCATCAGATTAATCATAATTCGCCTCGACGAATCGGTTTCATGTTAACGTGCTATATACATTTAGTGGCTCGTGAAAATATTCGGACATTAGCAAAATTTTTGTATTAATAAATTATTTTGAAATTACAAGACATGAATATCATTTAAAACTGATCTGAAAATGTACATAGGAGTTACAAGTAATATTTATTGAAAACGTTTGAAAAATATAATAAGAGTTTCAAATGTTCCCACTGGATATTGAAGAATATTTTTGTAACATGATTGTTGAGAAATTCTTAATTCTTTTAGATTTGTTTTCGACTTGATTAATATATAGTATTCAAACAGTTTCCAATGTCCGACGAGTTAAGTAAAGCATGTAATAAATGTTTTAAATTAAACTAAATTAAATTGACACAATAAAACTTCAAAAATGTGGCAAACGATTTAAAATTTGTTCTCCAATATTCAATGATTTTAATTAAGAGTTAGACGTATAGTAAATGTAGTAAATATTATTATATTCCTATTGAATATTGAGTAATACTCGTTAGTAGATTGAAATGCACACTTGTATTAAATATTTTGTAATTTCCAGATATATTTTCAGAATTCTGCTTCAGACTCGACTCGAATATAATCATGATAGCTAAATTTCGCTAATATTAATAAACCTCTAAAATTCTGCAGTAGAATTTCCTGCGCGTATTTATTGCATTGTCAGAACAGAATATCTAGTAACTATTAACTAGTAACCAGTAACTATTCTTAATTTAACGTGTACTGAGATATTCAAAATTCACAAAATGTTCCCACAAAATGTTCGAGTATTACTCTCATATTCAACATACAGCTCGTGCAACACGTGGACAACTTTTCAAGCGCAAGTAAATACCCGAGAATCGTCCCTCAGGGTATCTCGCGCAAACGCGAAACGAAACTAAAATGCGCGGCAGAAGCAAACTCATAAGAACACCGATAAGCAGTATTACTTTGTGTACCGTTGCTCAATAGGCCCGACGTGAAGCTCTGCGTGGGGTAGAGGCCCGCTGACAATGTTGGCGGCACTGTGGTCGGCCCAGCACGCTGGAACGCCTGGCTGAAGTTGGGTCTGTACATGGCCGTCGGTGCACCACCGCTGGCAACACCGTTAACCGTCGACGAGCTGACTATCGTCGCCTGGCTGAAAAAAAAAAGAAAAGAACGCCGGCGAGATTCGTGTTAACGATAACGTCAAAACGTAGCTCCGTTGATTAGCTCCGCTCGATTCCGCCTCCGGCCGCTCCTTTAGTTTTCGTTCGGTGATCTTTGACCGTCTGACGGGAACGCTTTATCTGCGTGTTCCTTCCTTCGTTCGTTCGCGGTTCTAAACCACCGGACGAACGGGCTGTGAATGAGAGAGATTGCCGGAGTGGGGAACGAGCGGTTTCTGTCGATTACGAGAACGTGGCCTTCTATTTTTTATTATTATTATTATTATTGTTATTATTATTTCTCGGCGAGTTGGGCTGACGTGCCCGGTCCGAAAATCAAACGTATAACGAGGTGATCTCCTTTCTTCGAATGTAACTTTTTTAATAGATGCAAATACTCTGTTTTTCAGTAGTAAATCAAACAAGTAAGAATATTTGTAAACACTTTTTTCTAGAAATAATGAATACAAATATTTCCCTCCCTCGGTTTATCTTGACCGTTTTATATTCTCCATTGAAAGTCTTTCAATGATAAATCCATACGATAGTACATAAATTTCCCTGCGATTTTAATGTAAAGTAAATGAAATGTCTGGCATTTTTAATGCCAAAGAACGATGTAAACAACTCCTTGAGAACGAAATTTTATTTAACAGATTCAAGTGGAAAGAATACTTTTTTATCTGAAAAAAAAAAAGAAAAAAGAAAGAAATCGAATTTGTCACTGATCTAAGTCTAGTCATCTCATCTAGGTACTATTCTCGCAGGCTTGAGTCGGTTATCTATTTTTGTTACAAATTAATTGATATCAAGCTGGATAACGAATCCAATAATACAATTGAATTACTTAAAGTTCATCAGTCTCTGAATTTTTCAACGCGTTTAACTGTCATTTACTGAAGCATAATTTATTAAATTTTCTACTTATTGATACTCTCACTATAGAAATGCATAATGCGGACTTGATTAACGCGCGCAGAAATATTTAACGGTCAGAAGTACCATTTTTCTGTAACAGTTTGCTACGGATAGAATAAAGAAAGGGGAGATTTTATTGTAACGAAGCGAATCAAAAATTCAACTTACAATTAATTCAAATGATAGAAAAGTAAATTTCAGCTTTCATGTACGAACATTTTAATAATTGCAATATTAAATACCTAATATATACATTTTGAAAGTGGCAATATTTCCGTAATGTATGTAAATGAAGATTTCACAGTATTATCGTAGAATATACAATTAATAAAAAAAAAAAAGGAAAGGTAAACTTTCAGTTTCCTAATTTATACACATCGTCGAAACGTCACTCCAACTTTAGTATTAAATAAAAATAATTTTAATTACGTCTGATATTTCCAAAACAGAACGTAAGCTCATCCAATTCGTCTCATCCTCGGAACGATATTAATAAATGTCAATTTAATAAATCGCGCTGCTCTCTTCTCGGAAACCGGATGATTAAATTAAGTAAATTCGGTTACAATTAACGAGCGAACCGCGATAAACCAGCGTAAACATAAACAATCGAAATGAAATTGTCGAATCGACCACGGGTTTAAATAATCGCTGAAATGGAACCGAGTAACTTTCTACTGACCTCATGAGGCCCTTGTTGTCCGCTGGCGTGAGCAGCTTCGATGCGGGGGCGAGAGACAGGGGTGTGGATGAGAGGGTGCTGCTGGGCAAGTTCGCCAAGCTGGTTAGCGGCGCCAGGGACGTCAACGATGCCGGTGGTGTGTCCTCCCTTTTTCCAGGTAGTGATTTCACCGGTGTACTCGAGAAATGGTCCAAACTCGATCGAACATCCGTTTGCTGCAACAAACGATCGGCCTTAGCATTCCAGTTCCAGTGAAATTGTCAATTCGTTTGCGAGTGTTTCAGAAAAAAAAAAAAAAAAAAAAAACTGAACTTCCAATGCGCGATATCAAGTAAACAAACGAAATTGAATCGAATTGAATTTCGGCTCTTGATTCTTAAGACTGAAAGAGTTATCACGGAATCTTTATAAAATTTGTAAATACGTGTCTCATTGCATGGTTTTTCGATCGTCTGTTTCTGTGTCGCAGTATTTACAAAAATAGGAATATTCGCGAGAAGATTTACAAATGTCGAATTACGAGTCATCTCTCAGTCTTTCAATTTTTTTATTCTACATCGTCCACGTGCATATATTATTTCTTATATTTTAAATCTCTCTACTGTCTTCTGTTCTCATTTTGTATAGTGTAGAATGACATAAAAATATATAGTGTGTAATATGAGAGTATAATATATAATAGTATAATAGTATAATATATAATATATTTTATAACAATATAATAGTATAATATATAATTGTTGGAAAATAAGTTTACAAATATATTTATAAACGAGAATCTATAATTTACTGTTCAATTCTTCGATCTTTTAATTTTACATTAAATTTTATATTGTTTACATATCATTCTCTGCATCATGGTACAGTACGAATAATACAAGTATAGTAAAAGGATCAGTCATTTATAAATAATTCGTAAAGTGTTTCATCGCTTGATCTTCCTCTCTTTCATTTCTATAACTAACCATTTTACAAATCTCCATAAAATTTACAAAACAGGCAAAATATGCAATTGCTCGATTTCTTTTTTATTTTATATTTCCATATGAGCGACATCGATTATTATATCGTGCGAAAAATATTCCCCCGGTGAGATTTGAATTCTCATCGTGGTTGAAATTCCTCCAACACGGTTCTGAGTGACATTTCCTCTGCAATACCAATACGCTGCACGTTGATAAACAGCAAACTCATGCGACTCTCTATAATTAACGACACTTCGTACCAACGAAGGTATCTGTATCAGTAAATAGTAATTCAAACGATTATCTGTAATTAACGACACGAGACACCCCGTCCCGTGATTGTGAGTTTAATAGACTAAACGACATTCGAACTAGTTGTACGTTCATGATCAATCTAGACCGTGAGGTGTGAAAATTTCAAGTGTCATTTACAGATAGTCACATACGAAACTATTCAAACACTTGTAGGAATTTTCTAGGAATATATTTCGTGTGTATCTCGAAACTGCATTAATACTGTAGCGATTGTTGGCTATCATAATTGTGTTGATCAAGTCCGAGGTAAATCTAGAGACATAATATAAAAATATATATTCACGTTGTAATTCAATTTTACAATGATATTATTATTATTATTATTCGAATTAAAAAATTTAGACAGAAACTTACACAATCAATGTGTCGTAAAGACAAGTATCAATAAAAATTTGGGATTCGAAACTATTCATTTTCCAAACTTTTAATCTAATTTAATTGAATTCAATTTACATGACACGTGATAGTTCTCAAATTTAATTTAATATAATTCATTTCGGTTCAATTTTTGACAGCTATTGACTCCTAAACATCGAACAGTTTTAAATGCTTTTGACATTTTATCACATCGTTGAACAATAATTTACTTTATCTTTAACTCAATCTTTAACGTTCATTATATTACTCGGAGATTATTCCTTCTTCTTACTACCGACAACGAGATATTCAATTAATTTTTTCAACTTTCTGGAGAACGTACAAAATTTATTCAAATTTATCAAAAAACCTTCGTATCTCTTCTCAGATAATTATAGAAACTAATCGCGTACGTTTGATATATCAGCAGAGTGTCATAAAATTTCTACGGTATTTTCGTAGAAATTTCGTAAGAACGTTGATAGCAACCGCTCCTCGTCGACAACTGGACTTCGCAAGGGCTAATCTGAAAACAGCGTGAATTTCGTGTCGCACGTAAATCGATGGCAATCGCGTCTATTCGGGTCTCAAGACATGGCTCATGACTTTTGTATCGCTCGGTAATCGTTACATTTTGTTAATACTGTCGATTGGCTCGATTCCCTCTCCGCGGCGCAACCGAGAATACCATTATCTGACCGTTCCAGATTTTTAAGCGTTCTGACCCAGTTTTCGTCCAGTGACGATCGGGAATCGGACTGGCGCGGAGAACACGCGAATAAATCGATCGGCATTTCGTCGCGTTTCGGGGATAAAACGTGAAAAGGGGCGCGTGATCGTACCTGCTGGACCGGCACGCGATCGTACACCTGCTTGTGCACCACCCTCAGGTTCTTTTTCCTCATGTTTGACCCTCCGTTCCAGACGCCCTTTCTTCCTTATCGCGGGGCTGCGGATTTTTATGCAAATTCACGTCACATTCGTTCCCGTGTTTTGTTTATTTATGTCTTCCACGGACACGGCATAGGTCGTTGCATACGAAATGGCGTGAAATTACTTGGAACTTCGTGACCGGGAACGAATTTTTAATCCTCCAGTGGGCTAAACTGCCGTTTCAATCGCTCGCTGTTCAATCGGCCGAAGTTTTTTTTTTTTTTTTTTTTTTACTGAGTTTTACTGGGTTTTCACGAAATATAAAAAAGAAAGTTTGGACGATTAATTTGGAAAATTTGCTTCGTCAAATGATCATCAAATTTCAGCGAATTTTTTGAACTTGAGGAAACGCATTGTTCGCAATGTTAAAAAGAGAATGAGGCAAGTTCGTCGTTAGTACGAATGGAAGCACAGTGAAGATTTCGATTTTAAAAATTGTTTCATCACGCGTCGAGTCTACGGTGTCGATAATCTGATCAATACCACGTTTGCCACTTCATCTGAAACAACCTAACAACAGGACTTGTATATTTCACCTATGAGTGATCATATCGTGCCCTCTGTTTCGTATATTTCGTGTCTTTTCACTGTCGCGTGAGTCGAATATCACATGAAAATCCACAGCCCGCTCATCGCCATTGACTCCTTTAACGTTCCTCGCGCCTGGTCACCTCTTTGCACGCGCGCGCGCGGATCTTCCATCACCGAGTCAACTCGTCAACTCGTCAACTCGTCACTGGCAAGCCGACGGCACAACTGAAACCCACGTTGTTCCTCGAAACTCTCGGTAGCACGTCACCAATATTATCCTTCGAAGCTCGATCACGTCACTAAAACGCACCACGTGTTTATTCGCCGCGTACGGCGAGCACGATCATCCGGACGAGGCGGCGACGCGATCATACTTTCTATCGGGATCCAGCTCTTTGGTCGGATGGAAAGGTCACCTGGTCCCCAGTGAGAACCGTTGACGAAAAAAGAAACGAACGAACGAACGAAAGAAAGAAAGAAAGAAAGAAAGGGGGAGCAGCGAGATGTAGAAGCGACCAGATGTGGCGGACAGGGACGTCAAGGCGTGAGTAAGCTCTCTCTCGTGGCCAAGGAGATTAATTCGTGGAAAGAGAGGCGAGTCAGTGGTGAAAGAAAGGGGAGGATGGAAAGAAAGAAAGAAAGAAAGAAAGAAAGAAAGAAAGAAAGAGGGGAGGCGCGGTGTGTGTGGCGGGAGAGACGAGAAGAAGAAGAAGAAGAAGAAAAAGGCGAGCACAGAGAAGCGTGCACGGAGGAATGAAATCGTCAAGAGAAGAGGAGGAACGGATGTAGGGAGGTGTTTTTATGAAAGGCGAGCAGTGTGCGTTGACGTCAATTATATAGGTGGCCACGGCAGATAGCCGGCGTCCGTGCACGAACCCCTTCTTGGTCTTCTCCTTAATGGGTTAGGTTTAGGTCGCCGGCAGAGGTTATCGGTCTCTTCGTGTTCCCTCCTCTCTCTTCCCTCCCGCCCTCCCTCCCTCGCCCCCTCTCCGCCCGCTCAAGCTGACACACGCTATCTGCCTCTGCTCGTCGCCTAGGGATTTTCAAAGTAGATAAGTCCCGACGACGAGAAACTCCGCGATAGCTCCTAGCTTCTTGCATTTGAACAGAGTAGACAACTTTCCGGAGTGGGTGTGTAATATTCACGAGGACGAAGGGTGGATTAGACCAACGGCAGCGACACGCTGCTGACCCCGTCGCGAGGCAGATCTGTGTCCCTGCACACTCACACACACACACACACACAATGGAGAGGAGTATCCCTGTTTTCTTTTTTTTTTTTTTTTCTTTTTCTAACGATTCGGGTCAGATCTGATGCAACTGAAACAGAGGCGTTTTCAGACACAGCGCTTCGTCCGTGAACGAAAAATCTCCAAAGCTGATAGGGGAACACGGAGAGACGCTGACGTACGTAGGAAATCCCGCCTATTTAGGGTACATGTGCACGCGGCGAGCGGATTTAGGTCACGCTGTGTAGCTGACCAGGCAGGCCAAGTCAGAGCGGAGCATAGCGTGCATAGGAGGAGCTCTGGTCAATCAGCTGCCACTCTACGGGATGTCACATTTGTTTTCTCAATTAGCTGAATGTCAGACGCTGGAGCAGCCCGCGAACAGTTTGCGAACGGCAAGTGTGTGGACACTTTGGCCGATCAGCGAACAGCGTGTGGCAAACTGGTTGGCTATCAGTGTGTATTCGCTGGAGAGGTACTCTGGTTGAAATGACACAGCGCGTTCGACGATAGACGTAGATGAACGCTAGAGTGTTGCTTTGCTTTATGTTAGTTAATTAGGCAACGAAGAACTGATCTGTGTGAACTGACCTGTGTGATTCTACTCGTCGATGTAAATCCTCAGCTTCGCGAGTAGCTCTAGCTAGTGCGGATCCAACGTTAGACGCGTGACACGGTGAGCGAGGGTCTCTCGTAGTTTGTTGCAGGGTGAACGAACTAATAACAGAGTGGCTAAGAACGCCCGGTTGCAAAAGTGACTCATTGTCAGAGTTGCAGCTTATGAAATTCACTCGTCAATTGGAGATAGATCGTTGGCTACCGACCAGGCGCCGCGTATATACATGTACGTCGCTGTGATTGTTGTTTCATCATGATTGAGCAACGGTATGGTAATCTGTCGCGAAGTTGTAGGATCGGGGAACGAGAGAATTTATCGAAACGGTGGAGTAGAGAGGCTGGACGAGCACGAACGTGCGATTTTGTCAAACGGGAGGCGGAGCGTGGTTCAGCCGTGGCTCTTTTTAAACGATGTCACGGACGCGTGACGATGATCAACGAGGGAGAAAAAGAAAAAAAAGATGTTACCGATGGTAATTCGGGTTTGTTCATCGGTACCTCTGACTCGTTAAATGGGATTTGTTAATAATATTCAGAGTACAATTGGATTTTTCTTAGATGACAAATGGATATAGAAAGAGAAACTTATAATAGTTAGAAAATTAATTCTTTCCTAGTGTGTTCTACGTATAAATGGATATTATGAATATTCGTAAATATATATAACTTGATCTTTAAATATTCGATTTGAGTATTTCAGTATAATGTTACATGTTGTATTCAATGTGATGAGAAAGTGGGAGTACCACGTTGTATGTATTTTTTTCAACGAAAATCGATTTCTATTACAAGACAGAGTTCCTAATGTAAGATAAATGGTTATATTTAAATGCACAGGATACATATAAAGTATACTACTACAATATCCAGTGATAGAAACAGATCTACGCTAGCTTCGTTCGCAAAAAATTTGCAGCCTGTTATTAATTGATTAACAATGCACAGAATTCGTCAATTAAATATAACGTACCAAAATATTAGAAAGAAAGAAACGTCCAAAGTATATATTATTTATTATAATCTCGTCGAAAAGCAAAAGTGACTCGAATGGAATTTCAAAAATCGCGTACACACTTTACTCACAACGTTCAAAAATCTCTTACGATCAATTATACGCCAGTCTTTAGTTAAAAAAAAAAGAAAAGTCCTCAGTCGAAGCTTCGTTTCCACAAAAAAAAAAAAAAAAAAAAAAAAAAAAAAAAAAAGAAAATCTTCGCGCCACTAATTTCCACACGAGTACAACTCGATCGCTCTTCGAGCCATATATACCGCGTTGGAGGCTATTCACGGCTGGGATCTCGGATGAGAGACTTTCGCACGGATCGTGCGTTTCCCAGCTTGTTGACGACTCCTGGCCGCTGAAAGAGCGAAACGCGAAGGGGGAGAAACACGAGAAAGAATATTTCGATTTTTCCGTCGTTCGGCGACCACGCGTGTAACGTGGTCAGCGTTGCATCAGAGTGGGAGAGGTGCGCGCGACCCACGGGGTTATCGTCGGCCTCTCAGTGTACCTATTATCAATCCTAAGGCTCCGCGTTTCACGTATCGCGCCGCGAGACGTTGCGCAGGAGCCGCGGCGACGCTCACTCGGATCTCGACGCGCGATAATTTTATGGACGGAGCCACTTTCATGGAAAACTTTATCGTACGTAGCGGTTGCGTCATCGGCACGATCGTAGATCTTCGGCTTGCTTTGCTCTGCTTATTAATTTAGCGTACTGTAGAATATATATATATCTGTGTGTTTGAGGACTTTTTCTTTCGACAGATTTTTTTTTTTTTTTTTTTGGTTGAGACCGATGTCATCGGTGCAGAGATTTCTCTATTTTTAAATCCATGTTGTAACAGAGATCGAATCTTTTGAAATTGAGAACAGATACTCCGTTTCGATGTCCGGCTGATTAAATTTGTCATATTCATTACTCCTTCCGTGCAATTTTAAATGGAAAGTTCGCTGGTCACAACAATTCAGATAAACGACATAACCGCTATGATCTAATATGTACCGACTAACCAGATGGAAAATTTGAAGATCGGAGTAATGAATTCATTCGGTAGAGCTTTTGCTTTTATCGTCACGTTCATTCACGATTGATTTTTACAAATTGGAAAGATGTAAATTTATTTTAAGATATCTTAAATAAGTATTTAATTACACTTCATTTTCGTAAGATGCATGTCATCTTGATGTTGGAATTGATAAATCGTTACGTAGGAAGAGTTATCAATTTCTTTAATAATTAAACCATCAGACGATCTCGAGATTAACGTTACTTAATCCTTCAATCTGTTTAATATCATATTTTATTACTGTTTTAACATTACTCTCTTTATGTCTCAAATTATCTGTACTATATACATATGTTGTTAGTTTTATTTATATTTATTAGTTCAACTTAATTCTCGTATCATATTATTATTTTCATCTTATACGTTTGTTCTTTTATTTTCTAAATTATGTTAATGAATGACGAGCAATTAGATCTCTCCAATCGTGTTGATCCACGGAGCAGTTTCCAGTCTTAATAACAAAAATTTTCACACTTTCATTTGCGTCGTATCTGACTCGATTCTCGTTTGTTCAATTTTTCTTTGCGTCGCAATTTTAATACGTACGTCAAAATTACGTCAAGACAACGTTCGACGTTATCGATGTATGTATGTATGTATGTATGTATCGGGAGATATTACTTTTCCTAGAATGAAAAGCTAGAAAGTTACATCAGGTGATGTCATACTTTGAATATGTTTCACAGAAGAGACTGATATTTGTTTGATAATTTAGTACGCGTCAATTAAAAGAAAAAGAAAAAAGAGAGTGTGTACACATAGAATGTCGATACTGTTGCAACACTATTCACGTGCAAGGTCTCGTTAGAATCATATAATAATCACGTGATGGTTTGGCAAACATTTCTAACGCATGATGTTCTCTTTTTTTTTCTTCTTTTTTCTTTTGTATCAGTAGAGGAGATACGTAATTTACTAACTTCGTAAGTAGGTATGCGGAAAAGATACTGTATCGTCGAAAAAAATGGCATCGAATTCTGCTAGTGTATGTGTTATTATATTATGTCTTTAATTTCGCATGCAACAAGTGTTATCTCGTGTCGACGACATATTATAAATTATTGTAAAATATTTAGAGGATTAATCTTGCAATACGTCGTTCTCATCATTATTTTCGACCCCATCATCGTATTTAATGATATTAATAATTTGAATCGTTTGAGCAAAGCATATCTGGTTGTCACTTTCGTCATTAAATGTTGTCTGATTTAATTTAATAGGGCTGATACTGTGAAACCTTGGATACTTATACTCTCGAAACGAGCATTTCTACTCGAAGAACGAAATGATAAAATGAATGATAAAATAATTGGAATAAAAATAAAATAACACAAAGTAACAACTCGTGACGTTAATAATTTCGAATAATAAACACAAAAATTACAAAGATTATCAATTTAAATTTAATAAATTGCAGCAAACTGGAAGATTTGAATTTATTGCAGATCCAGATGAATTCTAAATTCAAATTTCATTTCAAAACAAAACACTCTCTCTCTCTCTCTCTCTCTCTCTCTCTCTCTCTTTCAGCTTCAATTCGAAAACTCTGAATTTAAATTCAACGGGCGATAATTCACTATAGCCTGAGAAAAAGAAAAAAAAAACGAAACGAAGATACAAGGAAGCGAGTTTCATTCCCGAAGAAGCCACTCTCGGTCGTAGATGAAAAATTAGCGGTCAAGTAAAGCGTGAAAGCGAGACGCGAGAGAAGAAAGAGAGAGAGAGAGAGAGACTTTCGTTCTAATTTTACTCACCGTTGCGGCCGGAAGAGTTGGCATCGGCTGTGAGACAGGCTCCAGACCGAGTCTCATGCGTTTCGCGTTGTCGCTCTCATTTTCGCAGGCGGTTGCCAAAATCTGCTCGGCCTGCACGGAGGTCAAGTGTGCCGGTGTGGGCCTCGCCTGTAAAGAAATCAGACTGGTCACGTGATTCGGCACGCCGCGAAAAGCTCGAACTTGACTCAGACCAGCGGAATTCGCGAGCTTTCGTCGACCTTCCGTCTGCTTCACGAATACATCTAACGGAACACGAAAATTATCCACGAGATCGTTCCCTCGATACAATCGCGATTTATTCATTTATTGCGTTTCTGATAATTGGACTGCGGATTTTTTTCGTGCAAGTTTCGTACACCTTTGTAAATGCATTTGCAAAGGAATTAATTTGCAAATTGGTCTCGCGTTTTTTTTTTTGCAATTTTCAATTTCCCTACAGACGCTTAAAAATCCGCGGATAGTATAATATCAAATGATAAACACAAAAATTACAGATTATTAATTTAAGTTTAATAACTTGCAGCAAATTGGAAACCTCGCGAAGCCTTCGTTCAATAACAATTTGAATTTGAATTTTTATTGCAGATCAAGTGTTCTTTCACGGATAGATCCTTTTCTGATTGAAATATACGTTTCTGCGTTTGAACCGATTAGAGAATTCGTGTCTTGTGAAACGATCATGTACATATTGTAATATATTGATATAAGGTATAAATTTTGCCGTTTGATCAGACATTTGTCTACGAAACTTTTGTGAAAGATGCAAGTTGATTGCTTTCGAGATTGCGTGCATGTACTAACTGTATAAAAGTTAAAACTGTATAACCGTATAAAATAAACGGTATCTGTAATTAAAGTACGTTTGACTAAAAACAGAACGATATTGCCGTGCTGTTGGAAAAAATATAAATTGCTTCCAACAGCTTATTTACATTAAAATATAATGCAGAAGTATAGTTTACGAGTACGTACACCCGATACTGCGTTGCCAGTCAGAACGTCATAAATTTTCAAACCCGATTTTTTCGAAAACGAACCCTCGAACAAAAAAGTTTCATCTTCTTTTTTTTCGATTTATTTTCGCGTGAAACTTTTTTTTCGATATTTTTTTCACGTGAAACTTTTTTTCGATACTTTTTCGCGTGAAATCATCCGCTGCCCGGTTGCATCAGGCATTCTGTTATAAACGTATAAATTATTAAAAAATGAACTTCACTGTATTATTATACTTTTATTTCACACTTTCATGCTCAGATCGCATGAAAGTTTATCATTAGTTCATTAATTATTTCTTTATCTCCACACTCTTCTACGATTTTATCATTTTGTAAAAAAAGCTATTATTATTACACGTATGTCAAAAGTGTAATATTTGTAAGAATATATTAATACAAATAAGAAAGAACATATTTATGTTATTATAATCAATTTCGTTGCAAAGCATAGCGAACGTATACGAATGATACGTTCTATATGTTGACATTTTGACTCGTCGATGAAGATGCAATGATATCCACGAACAGATTATTATTATCAACGTCAGCACAGATCTTTGATTTTCAAATATATAATTAATTAAAATTAAGTATAACATCCATATATCCAAGAATAGATTATTGCCACAATTATGTCTTTCATCTTTAAATATACGATCAATTCAAGTTTCACTATTTCACAAAGCAAAAAATATCCATCTACCCCAAGAAGTCGTCACTCGTTCACTTGAAAAAATTTTTAACACCAACACTGGAAAACTTTCAATATCACGCGGATAAATAGCAAATTCGACTCGTAGCTAAAAATCACAAAAAATTTCTCACTCACCGCGTCCCAGGGACCGCCTTCCCTGCCACGTTTGTTCCTTCGACAGCTTTTCAGGTACGTTCTGATCCTCTTCCTGGCCCTCTCGGCGAATTCTGGGAACTGTCTGGTGCAACTGTCGATGATCGCCTGTATCTTCTCCTTTGGTTGCTTGGAGATCGGCACGATACGGTCCAGGTTCTCGTCGACGAACAGCCTGACGAACATCTGTAAAGAGACGCGCGACGCGGGCACACCACGCCGCCGAATGAATTAAAACGAGCCCCAGAATACAACTGTTAGTAACGCGGCGCAAGGAATTAAGAATTCCCCGACGATGGTGGGGCGGACGCGTACCGCGAGGCTCTCTATTAAACTAATTGTAATTAATTAAGAAGCCGCTTGGATGGCCGGGTCCGCTGGCTTACAGCCATCTGCGGGCCTCACTTTGGATTTCAGGTTCCGCGGCGCGCCAGTGGACTTGAAGACACATGCTGCGAACCACGCTTGGGCATATTTTATTTCGAATAAAACGTGTGTTTTGGAATTTTAGAACTTTAGAATTTTAGAACTTTAGAACTTTAGAACTTTAGAAATTTAGAACTTTAGAACTTTAGAACTTTAGAACTTTAGAACTTTAGAACTTTAGAACTTTAGAACTTTAGAACTTTAGAACTTCAGAATTCTGGAACTTTAGAATTCTGGAACTTTAGAATTCTGGAACATTAAAATTCTGGAACTTTAGAACTTTAGAACTTTAAAACTTTAAAACTTTAGAACTTTAGAACTTTAGAACTTTAGAATTCTGGAACTTTAGAATTCTGGAACTCTAGAATTCTGGAACTTTAGAATTTTAGACGTTTAGAATTTTAGAACTTTAGAATTCCAGAACTTTAGAATTCCAGAACTTTAGAATTCTAGAACCTTTGAATTCTAGAACTTTAGAATTCTAGAACTTCATAATTTTAGAACTTTAGAATTTCAGAACTTTTAGAAAATTTTAGAAGAGGACATACAAAGTTAGAATTTATTTTAGATGGAGACAAACAAAATTAGAAAATTCATTCTAACAAGAAGAATAGTATTCATTTGTCAACTAAATAGTCTAGGGAAAAATCAATTTCCATATCGAAACAGGCATCAAATAACATAAAACTGAACGAAATGTCTAATATATCACTCAACTCATCATTTGCCAAATTATCATTCAAAGAATCCTCAAGCTTTAAATATATATGAATGAAAATTCGTTGGAAACGAAAGAATAAAAAGAATAAAAAGCTCGCTTCATTTGGTAACCAAATAGTCCAGAGGGAAATCAATCCTTAATATAATTTCAAATAACAATCAGCTGAATAATGTATCATTCGATTCATCATTTCTGAAATATTGAATGTCTCAACTAATGCCCAAGCCTGGTTCGTAAAACTTTACGATAATTGCTGCTTTTTCGGCGCAAGGCGGAGGCAAGTTCAATACTACTCCCTCGACTTAGCTTTCATTTCGAACACCGGCTTTGCTCGTCTTCTAACCCCCTTCTGCAAAGAACGCGCGAACAACAAGCAACTCTGCTATCTTTTTACACGGTTACACTGTGCTCCGGCTAATGCCGGCCGCAATAAACTCGCCGTTTCCGGTTTAATGCGGCTCGTGGCTGCGGAGCATACGGTAACGGCGAACATTGCGACGGGAGTGGAGGTTACAGTTTCAGGTGTTCGTACGTTTAGCGCGGATAATTACGCGAAAACGATCGTTCGCCTCTCCCTGTGATGCACCGTGCGCCAAAGAGGAGGTTCTTCCTTTTTCTCTCTTTTCTTTCTCCCCTTTTTGACGATGGTAGGTTGGTGGTGGTGAGCTGAGTAAATGAAGGTTCCTGTATGTTATGGTTATGGTCTGACGATGGGGATGATCGCGAGAATATTTTCGCCAACGCAACAAGGCCCGTGTGTTTAGAGAAAGAATCGTATTCTTAATTTTGCTGCCTAAACCCGATGCTTTGAGCGGCGAGTTGAATTTATTAGAAATTATCGTCGTTGTGTTGCCAATTTCTGTCCTGTTGCCTGTGGGTCTTCATTTCCTCGAGGCAAGTTTGTATTTTAGAATAATTAATAAATTTAGTAATTTGTTTAATAGGATGATTTTATATAATAAATAAATTTAGTAATTTGTTTAATAGGATGATTTTAGCGTTGAGATGATTGCTATGTACTGTATTCGTTTGTATTGTTCGATTAATTATGAACTTCATTTATTTCATTTGTTTAAATACCTGTAAATTTTGTTTGATTTAACAGTAGGTTTGAAGTGACGAAACAATTTTATATTAATCGTACATTTTGTATATAATATGTATATAATATGTCAGTGTTAATTTTTGAAGATTGAACTTTAGAAATTAAAGGACGCCAGTCTTTATTTTATACATTTTACAAGAAAAGAAAACACAAATGTCTAAAGGTACAAATTTATCAAATTTCTATGAAAAATTATGATTTAGTAATTTTAACTACTTTGTAGTGTCATTAATAGATCATTAATTTCGAAGTGAACTTGTACAACGAAATCTCAATCGCAGTCACTGAAGTTACGCTTCCAGCTCGAAGCTCGAGTCGAAATTCATGATTCTCGGCTCAGCCCTCGATTTGAAAGAAAAAGAAGAAAGAAAAAAAAGAGGCAGACGTGAAACCCACTCTTAACTCCGCCTTGCTTCATTAATCACGTCGCCACGACGGCCTAGCGTTTCGCCTCCACCCCGCGAAATAAACTTCAAAAAAGAATGTGTAGGAACACGAGTAACGACGTAGCGCGAAAGCGTTTCGAATCATTTCGAGTATGTACGAAAATTCGAAACACATGGAGCTCGAGAGGATTCAATGTCCAAAATTGTCTTTCGACGATCTTGAAAGTCGTAATGATCTTAAAAATCAGTAATTAAGATCTTGAAAGCATTGGGATATTTCAATTAAGCCTTGAAAGTCTGACATGTCGTCGATGGGATTCACGATTATACATTTAAGAGAATCTGAAATTTCATTTTTCTAACAGCCCCCCGTCGTCTAGAAAATGTTTCAAGACTCGCGAAAGACTTAGAAGAAGACTTTTGAACACTTTCGAGAATTTTCGTACATCTGGCTCCTGCTTCGAGCAACTCGAATTTGAACAGTTTTGGAAACCATCGATATCGAGACTCAGATGGTGGACTAACGTGTTGAACGTGTTGAAACTTACGTTGAAAGCCTTCTGGCGCTCCGGGTCGTGATGTCTGGGGTCCAACCTCTCGTCAGCGTCCTCGTCGTCGTCGTCCTCGTCGTCTTTGTTACCGCTGCTGCTAGTTTCGTCGTGAGCGCTGCCTGTTCCTTCCCCGCCAGGGGGGCTGGACTCGCGATCGCGATCGGATCGCGAGGGCGTCGCGGCAGAGGCTGGTGGCGGTGTCTTCTTCAATCCCATGGCGTAGGAAGCCCATAATGATGCCATGTCCTCGCCGCCGACTCCAGCCACCGCGCCCAAATTAGGAACAGTGCCTGCTGGCATGTCTACCAAATCGGAGGATCCGTTTCGTGAATCTGCAATGTGGACAAGAGAGATTATTTGAAGTTTAACTTTAAAGTTTCTGACATTGATGGTTTTTTTTCGATGAGTTTCCATTCGTTTATATTATATGAATAATAGTAATTTTTGTGGAGATTCATAGGAATAGACCACAGTTAATCTTTCAGGGACGATGTCTGACACTGATGTTGAACTTTTTCCATTTAAATAATACCAGTAATAGTAATTTCTATACTAATTTATATTAATTGCTAATATGGTAGTGAATAATTTTAATATTTAATATTTAATAATGTTAATTATCATTAATATCAAATTCAATTTTTAATATTTAATAATATTTTTTCTACTTTCTATTAGTAATTTAATAGGAATTGAAAGCTAGAAGTTTTGCTGTTTCGATCCTTGACATTGTAACAATCTACGTTATAAATCGCCGTAACTTAAATGACAGTAATTCAGACAAGATCCACGCGATCACGCTTACTTAAACGGAAGCCAATATCAACATTCAAGCAATTGTAAAAGAAGAAAATCTGCATAATCCTTCCTGCAACCAAACACTTCGTCCTTCATTCCTGTCCTTCAGCGAAGAAAGAGAAACGTTCTAATTGACCTCGGCTATCATTGCAGCCAGAAACAAGAACGTTAACTGCCGCTGAAACATCCCTGGAGTATTCCATGCCCGAAAACCACTCTTGCGAACATCAATCTTCCCATCAGTGCAATTCGCCGACGTTCGCGAATTAACGCGAAACGGTGAAACGAAACGGTCCAATTCCGCAACATTTACATCAACGAGCGCGGCGCGTAGCATTAAACCGTGAACTTTTTATCGCCGCATCTCTGGAACCGGCGTCTGTCAACTTGTTGCGCCTGGCCAACCCGCGAAGACAATTCAAATATAACCTCTCTCGTGCCTCGCGCCTTCCGCGAGACCTGTTCGCCATCTGGCGATCCAGCAATTCCCCTTTCATACGAAGCGATAGATCACTGGCGACCGACGCGATGTTCGTAATCGCGTGATATCGAGAGATGTTATTGCTAGATTGGCACACCGAGTTCTTATCTATATAGGAGGAATGCGTATAACTTGCGAAAATATATGGACAGTGTCACATGCCAGAGTAAAACGAGCATTCGTTCTGTCGAATTTATCGCGAGAAGAGTTAAGAAGTAGGAAAAATACTTTTCATTTGTAGTTGACCTCTGGTGGTTCAATCATTGATTTTATTTAATCAAGAAATCGCGTGATTTCGAGAGATATTATTGCTAGATTGATACACCGAGTTCTTATAGGAGGAACGCGAAAATATATTGACAATGCCACATATACCACAGAATAGAATGAGCATACGTTCTATTTTAAAGCTATCGTTTGTTACGAGAAAAATTCATTCTACAAAGTAGAAAAAATATTAAATATTAAAAATTATATTAATATTATTAATATTAAATATCAATAATATTAATATTATTAAATAATAATATTATAATAATATTATTAAATATTAAATATTAAAATTTAAATTTAATATTAATGATAATTAATATTATTAAATATTAAAATTATATTCTATTCAGTCTCTATTCAATTCAATTCCTGAATTCCAGCAGACACGGAGTCTGTTGAATTTTTAATCTGACGATATCGAATCTCAAGTGATATTTGTCGTAATTAATTGGTCTTAATTCTTAATTGGCTCATTTTATTGATTAATTGACGAATCTAGTAAGAACAAATTTTATCTTTGCGTGATCGGTAATTTTAATTAAGCCAAGCAGTACTAACATTCCGCGTGCCTAACTTTCATGTTGAATTCATTAAAAAATAGTAAATCAGTACTGTATCAGCACACATTCATTTTTTCTTTCTCGGTATGGCACAGTCTACGTAATACTTAATAGATAAATCAATTTGCCGTTAAAGTTTTATTTTTTAAAATATGATTTGCAAAAAACGTGAGATTTCTTACAAAATACACGACGTTTGAGTTTCATTTTTTTTTTTTTCTTCTACGTTTGCAAACATACAAATTTGCACGAATGTTTGCAATGAAATTATCACGTCAGCGAGAATTATTAAAGACGAAATATCGTATTGGATTAAGTAGAATATCAGTCACAGAACTTGACATAAATATTCGCAGTCTAATTATTGTGCCAGAGAGAATTATTAAGGGCGAAACATCACATTGCGTTAAATAGTCACGGAACAGTCCCATATTCTTTGAAAGCTATAAATACTGGAAAGCTTAAATACATAAATTATAAACTATGATATTTACACAGTGTCACGTATTAAAATTACAATTATAAATTAATCGTATATTAAAGATAAAAATATAAATATCGTTCAACCGAAACGGAGCTCAAGTGTATAAAATATAAATTACAGAAGCAATAAATATCTGAAAATTTAGAAATCAAGCTTGGACATGAATAATTTATATTTTTCTGAAAGAAGTCAATCTTCAACGAAAGGAAACTAAACGAAATCGTTCTAATTTACTGACTGATCAGCTACGCTGATTTCGATCCCGCGAAAGAGTGAAATTTAGTTTTCATTTTAGAATGTCGAACAGTAGTATTCAAAGCACGGAATATGGGCTATTAACTCCAGGAAGATCGATGGGGCGTTTCCTGTTTAATTGAATCCCTGATCTCGGAAGAAAGGGGAATGATACCCCTTCTTCCCACGGTTAAATTGGCAAATACATACTAACCGATTAAATGAGCCGACTGACAACGAGCATGTGGGTGGTGTTTATGGTCGTAAATATAATAACGATGCCACGTTTGAATTGCGTGACGCCACTGATTAAAGACGATCAAAGGAACAGTAAACCGGCTCATTCTACCGATTGTGAGTACATCGGTATCTGAGAACGAGCTGTTGGCACCCTACAGTTAGTCAGTATCGCGATGGAAAAACGTCATAATTTCAGTTGTAGACTGCGTCACCCCGAACTCGTGCTGATATTCATTGCTAAATAATCTTATTTCGTGAATGCTTTTTTTCAAACAAATGATCGTCAGAGAGAATCAGAGTTATCATTGAATTAGAGTCGTTCACAATTTTCAACATTTTACAAGCCCCCAGTAAAATTGATCGTAATAAAATTTTATTAATTATTAAAGTACATTACATGCACGTTAAAACGCATTCAAGACAAATGGGAATGATAGTTCGAGTATTGAAACGTGTTGAAAAAATGTATTCTCTGTTATTAAACGCGTTGAAACTAAAAATATAATGGCATCGTTAATATCAAAAATGTGAGAGGAGAAACGTTTATTTTTCACCAGGCCATCGATTGGAGACCGTTGTCGAATAATTTGTGCTTTTACTATATATCCTTTTCAACATATTCTATTTTATCACGTCTGTTTTCCCTTCTCGATTCTTCCTTTCACTATAGAAAATCAATAATAGAATTCTTCTATCTAGTTGATAAAATAAATGTCTGTTTGCAAAGAGATGCATACATCAATGTAAATATATATCAGTAGTGACAAATAACGAAGTATCATGTACGGTGACATGTAAATTTATTAAATTTGAGTTAAAAAAATCCGTCGATTTTAATAAAAAAGGTGCATTGAAAATTTTGCAATTTACTTAAATCAATCCAAACTACCCTAGTCATAAAGAACATCGAAGATCTTCGTTTATCAATTCTTGTCTTGTGCGGTGTGAACTCGTCATCAAGAACACACATTCTCCAATAAACCATAAACCTCGCACAGAAATTACTCTTCTAAAATTTTTCGCCATTCCAATAAAATTTCCGCAGAAATGAAACGTAACATTTTCCTTTTTCCTTTATTTTTGTCCCAACTGATTTTCTGCTCGTACCATTATTCCTTGCTTCATTCCTTGTTCGAACTTTCATTTCGTAAATAAAAATGTCGATCGAGTGTCTTACCTCTCGTGAAATATTTGTCGCATGGTGCAAATCTAGCATGCCAGGAATTTTAATACTATTTTAATAATAGAGATAAAATTGCGTGATTTATTCCACTCACTTGGGGAAAATCTGGCTCTCGACTCGGCTAAATTTTAATATTGACTGATAGTTTGCCTCTGATTCTGTTCAATTAAATTTTCTTCAACCAAAAGATATTCGTACGCACGAATGTTCTTGCGCGAAGTGCGAAGAATACGTGGTCACAACAGTATTTTTCACTATCCTTATTTTTTTATTTTGAAATAGATCATAACCGTGCTGCCCTAACGTTAACAACAAGATATCTTAATTTCACTCAGAATCTCACTGAGCCAAGTTCTCATTCTCTTTTATCGATTATGAGCATTAAATATCAACCGACTGACAACATTCATTAAAAACCGTCGTACACACGAATCTCTCACGTTCTGCAACGATATTCTCGTACTTTTTTCCTTGCTGCGGCGTCAACAACATACTTCAACATACTTAACAGTTCCCGAAGAAGCTCGGCGAACTTGGAGCATCAAGCTTCGTCCAATCAACTAAACAAGAAACACGGATCTTCTTGCACAAAGTGTCGTGGCGATACATCCTTCTCCGTACTAATCCCCGCGTTTTACTTTCGCATAAAACATAACTGCACGCGTCCTCGCGTTAACAACAGAGGACACCTTAACCTTAACGGTTCTCGATGAAGGCTCGCGACGTTTCAAACACAGCTCCCGTCGTGTTACACCGAACGATCGTGTTCGCGGCGAGACAAATTGCAGACGGCGGCCGATCTCGGCCGAGGAACGAATCGTTCGAGCACTCGGAGTCGAAAGAATTGGCCCGTAAAGGAGTACGTATTTGCAACACGCGCGTCCCGAATACGAGGTCCCTGTTTCTCTCACCGCGCCGACCGCCATTCGCGAACGCTTGACTCTCTCGTCAGGCGTCTCTTAGGAGCGTATCGTCTCGGTGGAAAAAAGCCGACCTGTTTCCAAAACCCGTAATAAGTCTAAGTAGAGATCCCTACCAGCCGGCTGCGGGAGAAAGAGAGGCAGCCTGGTCCCGGGAGA